TTTCGCGTTTTTGCTGCCTGTGTGGCGCTGTATTATGTCCCAGTTGTCTGGGCCTGGAGAAGGCAGCAATGAGGGGGTTACTGCTGCAGAGGTGGGTTTGAAATTTGACAGTGTGTTTGTCAGTGGAGGGGAGTACTGTTTGCTTCAGTTTATTTTTTCAGCCTTGAAAGTAAAGTTTACATTGCTTGAAAAGCATATAGCGTGCCTAAGTGCACGCTAAAGTTTAAAACAATTCTCTGGGATGTTTTTACATCCCCCTAGGCAAGGTGGGTATGTTGAATTGCATTTAAGTTAATGTCGATGGATCTTCATTACAAATCAAGTTCTATGTGCTGTGGCATTCTGATATTTTTTTTTATATGGTTGTGTTGAGGAAATGCATAAATTTTTTTTAACAGAAGTACAGAACTAGTACTTGCTAATTCATATTTGGCCAACTGTTTAAGTACAAATGATGCTGTGATATTTGAACTTTGTTGTGAACACTGAACCTTAAACTAGTGCTACTTTATTTTTCCATCATTCAGGGATTAAAAAATGGTGCAGCGCCTGACCTACCGCCGTAGGTTGTCCTACAACACAGCTTCCAACAAGACCAGACTGTAAGTAGGACTTAGTTTTTAAGAACACTAAATTTAAGTTTTGATTGTGCCTCTAACTGAGTATTTTCCTGATGTGTTTAGGTCCCGAACACCTGGGAACAGGATTGTTTACCTTTACACCAAGAAAGTAGGGAAGGCACCAAAGTCAGCATGTGGTGTGTGCCCAGGAAGACTTCGTGGTGTAAGTGTTAAGTTTACCAGCATAAGACTGCTATAGCAATTTTGTTTCCATCCGTTTTTCAAGTGATGTGGTTTGTTTAACGCTGAATTCAGCCCCTTGATTCTTGCTGAGTTCTGGTTGGAATGTCTTTCTTCCTTAAATTGCTTCTTATGTCATCTGAACACTGTAAAGTTTAGCTTATAAAACAACGTTTTGAAAGCTTAAAGAACAAACGTAGTTTTTCTAGTGCTGTTATATCTGAAGCATTTTTTTATAACTTAGCTCATAACTGGCTTAAGATTTCAAAATCAGATATAGATGATGCTGTAGCAGGCAGCCTCCTATTAGAATTCAGTGTGTATATTGAAAATTTTATGTCTGAATTGGACCTATTAGGTAGGCATAAGCCAGGTTTTATTTTCAGTTTTAGGCAAAGTGAACTCCTAACATGCTGTTTTTCTCAAAAACATTCTCGGTTTAATGACGTCGCTCTTAACAACAAATGTGTTGGGGAATCCATGTGCAGGAATGGAAAAGATCAGCCTAAGAGGAATGCTGAAAATGGTGTGTATGTAACAAAAAGATGGTATATATTAAAAATGTTTTTGTGTGTTGCTGTTTTTAAAGAGAAACTGTCCAAGTGAGTTTTCTGAATATGGCTATTATCCAAAATTAGGGACTATTTTGTGATACTGTCTTAACTTGTGCTTTCTGTAGGTTCGTGCTGTGCGTCCTAAAGTTCTCATGAGGCTTTCAAAAACGAAGAAGCACGTTAGCAGAGCCTACGGTGGTTCTATGTGTGCTAAATGTGTCCGTGACAGGTAAACTTGCAGAAAGCTGACTTTTTTTTTGATTTTGCCTAGTGTGAGATGTTAACATCTTAACGTTTAAAAAGACTGTTTAACATAGAGTAAAAGGGGTAAGCATGAGGCATGCTGGCAGTGATGCGTACAGTCTTGTCACTTGAATTTGAGTTGGTTAGTGCTTTGGGAACTCCTTTGTAGAGGTCAGGTTCTTTAAAATTTCTTGCTGTGTTATAACTTGGGTAAATCTTCTGTTTGCTCTGGTGTGTGTGCGCTCTTTGTTTGCTTTTGTGTTTTGTTTTATTCAGTCCTCATAATAAAGACTTCTCCTTTCAGTTATCTTACTGTCTTATGCAGAGATGACTAAGATCAGTTTAGCTTTTGACTTTTTTGTTTTCAAAATCCTGATGCATATTAAGCGTCTCTGTAGTTAATCTTTATGATGTCATTTGCTAGGCCTCAGTGATTTGAATTTTATTGCGTAACAACTGTACATCTACTTCTTGACAAATTTGAGAAAGAATGTGTATTATAATGTCATCTGTGTAAATGGTAATCAAAACAAACCTTTCGAGTTAGCAGTCTCGTGCCATTTTTCGTCTCTAGTGCAAAGCCGACATCTTTGTGTGTGTGAATCCGAAGTTAAATCACAGGAGGTGCCATTGAGGATGGGTTGTTACAGTCGCAGATCCTTAGCGGTAACTTCTGTGTTAGATGTCATAATTTTTAGGTAGAATAAGACACAATTCTTTCTGAAATACTCAAGTATTAAAAATGACCTACCAAGCTCTCAAAGTGCTTGGGAACCTAAAAAAACATGTAATCACCTTGTCACCTATAATTCGTAAGTCTTTCTCCTGCATTTGCTTAGGCATCTTTGGTAGGTTTTGTAACCAGTCAGACCAGGTGCATATGGAATGGTATTTTAATACTTTAAGGTAGGAAGAGTGTGTGGTATACTTGTACTTTTAACTCAAACTCATCAAAAGCTGTTGATTTGTGAGTATTATCATATGGCTCCATCTACATGGTGGCCCTGTATGTCCTCCAGAAAAAATCATATTTAAACATGATTTAACCTGTCAGTGTGCATGTTTTTTGTGTGCTTTTTTCTGCTTATGTACAAAGAAGCTGTAATGCTGAGAGGGGAACTGCTCTTATTTTGACAACTGAACTGACTTAAATTGTCTGTAATTCTAAGGAAGAAAACTGACTACAAGTGGTCATACCAATTCTTACTTTAAAAACTACTAATTCAGGCTAATTTTTTCCATGTTTTATCAGCCTCTAGATATTAACCTCAGGCTCTTCCTTACCTCCTAAAAGCCAGTAACACTGAGCTTTATGAACGCGCTATGCCTTCATCCCCAAATCTCTGCATTCGTACAGCATCATTCTCCCTCCCTGTTGATGTTGTCAGGAATGTTGAAAACATCTCCTTTTTAAGTAATTCTGGAACTAATACCATACATGCAATATTGAATGCTAGAGACAGCAAAACTAACTTCTGTCAAGTTCTGTCTCGTTTTGGTATTTTCACCTAATTAGATACACATGCTAAAACTGTGTTTTTTTTCCTTTCCCTTTCCAGAATATGTCGTTTTGGTATTTTCACTTAATTAGATACACATGCTAAATCTGTTTTTTTTCCTTTCCCTTTCCAGAATCAAACGAGCTTTTCTTATCGAGGAGCAGAAGATCGTTGTGAAAGTGCTGAAGGCACAAGCACAGAGCCAAAAGTCGAAGTGAATCTATTTGTATTTTCTGCCCAATAAATGAAAGTTCCGCTTTTCTTGCGTCCAGTTCTTCTGCATGCTTGTCAAAGCTGCAAGGAGCTACTTCTCACAGGTTGTTAAATGCAAAACTAGATTTTGAGTCAGCAAAAATTGTAAGTAAGTCAGGATGCTGTGTGCCCCATACAGACAGGGGAATTAGGCAGGTTCAAGAAGGTCCTGTTAAACAGGACTCTTGGCTCTGTCCCACAGTCCTGTAGAGGGAGTGGAGTAACTTTCAGCAATATGTTTTGTTTTGTTTTTTATGATAACAGCTGTATATGAAGTGATCAGAGAACTTGGCTAAGAAGAAAGTTAGTAATCTGAAAAAGAAAAGCAAACAAAGGGAGAATATGATTAAAGACTGGAAGAGATGTCACACAAAGAAGAGGAGAGCTGGCAACTTGAATCTTGATGGGGTGGTGGAGTTGTCTGACTTCATGGAGCAAGCACTGTATGCACCACACTGTTACCCTACTGCTACACCTTGGTCTCCTGGACAAAAGCTGCAGCTGTTGTTTTGTTGGCTTGTTAGGTATCTCCTGAGAGAGGATTTTTGGATCAGCAGTTACATGCACTCCTAGAGCTCTGTATCATGCCTGTATCTGGATGGTATAGACCTTGCAGAATTAGGGTTCATTGGCCCCGAGTATCTAGACGTGAAGAAAATTCTCCTGGATGTGTTGCTTTCTGACTAATGGTGTATTGGTAATGTAATCAGCAATTCTGAAAGAGGTAGAAATGGGCTAGTTTTCCTTCCTTGCCTCATGCTATTGTGTAAAGAGCCTTAAACCTACCTCTAACACTAGCCAGGAGTGCTCTACCATGCTCAGAATAGTTCCTGCATTCCCTGTTATGTGCAGAGGTTTTCCCTATCCTCTGTTATGAATTTTGAAAGTTCTTAGTATGACAAGGAGTGCATACCCGTTTTTCTTGCAAGAAATCTTTTTTTTACTAAAAAGTAGTGTGTAATTAAGAAGTAGCAAGTTTTACTACTGAAATACCAAAAGATGAGAAACTTCTTGAGTGCAAACATTGGGATGATAGAGGATGCCCTTTGAAGAGCCTTAAGATCACTTGCAGAGTCTTTGCAGGCTGTGGTTCCGTGACATGTGTCGAAAAGGAATTTTTTTTATCCTGACTGCATTCTGGCTATTCATACCATGCCTAGAGCAAGTGCTTGTCAGTGTGCTATCAGCCAAGAAACAGGTCACAGAAAACCCAGTTGGTGAAGAGACCCCTGTTTCAGTAGTAGCGAGCTGTTACATCAAGGCAACTGCTTGGAAACCCACAGTGTTGCTCAGCTTGACAGGAAACGTCTATGCTTGTAGATACAAAGGCAATGTCTTAACCAAGCAAGGTAAAATGATCCCTCCCCCCGAGAATTTCTTTGCAGTGTCCCAAGCCATTAAAATAATTGTTAGTGTTCCCAAAATGTGGATAACACTGTGGCTAAGTCGTACAGTTTAAGTATGAAGCATTTGTTTCACCTCAGCTTGGATTCTGCTGAAGCTTATTCCAAAGGCTGGAGCTAATTAGAGGTTGTTTTAAGACTAATGTTATTACCCTGACATTTTTAGGTGCTGTTACTATAGTTAGTTTACAAGGTTAAAATTTTATTAGTTGTTGCCTTATTGTGCTAGTACAGACTTCAGTGGTCTGGCATGCTGGAAAAATAGTTTTTAACTACAACTGGAAAGTAGGACAGGTGCTTAATCTACCCCAGAGGTGTTCTCAAGTAGTTATTATTTGACACTCCTGGTTTACATTAAAAGCTGCTAGATTAGTTTTCCTTAGAACTT